GGGCCCCCCCCCCCCCCTTGCCCTTGCCATCAGACCCAGGGCTGAAGAGCAGACCCAGAGGAGGTGGCAGGATGTGAATCTCTTCTGAATCCCCAGCTCTTAGCAAGGTCCTGTCTGAAGAATATCAGTGGGGAGCCAGGATTTGACTCCTTGCCCTGACTAATGGTCTTCCCTAGACCCTTCTCAGCCATTTGGGACAGGTGGTGGCTTGAAGTGCTCCCTCCCTGCTGTGCTCCAGGGTGATTAACCCAACATACCGATGGCCTGGGGATGGGCTTCTGGGGTTTCTTGGAGCCGAGCTTCTTCATGGCATTGTAGTATTTCTTCTGCTCTTCTGTCATGAAGATGTCTTTGCCTCCAAAGTATAAAGGGAATCACTGCTGTTAGTCCTGGGAACTTGCCTCTTCCTACTCAGCTTCTCTGACCATGCTCCTTCCCACCAAGCTTCTCCAGCCAAGCTCCTACCAGGAATTGCTTACTGCACTGACCCAGTGAAACCTGCTTCCTCCCTACTTGCCCGTTTCTATGCCTTTTTCCCTAGTTCACAACACCCGTGGGTGCTCACGCCAGCGCTGCAGTTTCCTCCTGCAGAGGTGAGATGCTGCCTCCCAGCCCGCTGCAGTGAGTGGGGCACCCCATGCCCTGCTGGGGCTCACCCTCTCCTTGCTGGCCAGATCCTGCTGGCACTGAGGCAGCATCTCGATGTTCTTCAGAGCTTGCTCAGCACAAACAACGTGCTCCCACCCTCCACCTGCTTCCCCCTCTGGCAGCCCAGGGATGTTAGTCCTGTGCTGCTTGCTTGGAAGTAGACACTGAGTCTCTCCTTGAAGCGTGCAAAAATGATGAGAAAGGGTCACAGGGTGGAAAAGAAAATAAAAGTGATGGTACAGGCCCTCTTGCCACAGGCCACAGTCCCCCTTGCCTCCTCCCTCTGCATCCATAAATGAAATCCTCCATAAATTCTGTGTCCAGGACACAAATCCCCAGGTGCCATTTGTCCAGCTCTCCTTGTTCAGGAAGCCACTAACGTATGCCAGCAATCCAGGCTGCAAAGGGACCCTGGGGTCCATCCAAACATCGGCCATGGTGGGCCTGGTCCCCTCACCCCACGACAGTGCTGGTCTCCCTTGTGCTAGTGCCCTCCATCCTGGACCCAGGAGGCAACAGTGGCTGCAGGACCCAGAAAATACTTATCTTTTTCTTCTGCTGGTTGAAGTTGTCGATTATGACACCAATGAAGAGGTTCAGGGTGAAGAAGGCACCAAAGATGATGAAGATGACGAAGTAGATGTACATGTAGATGTTGATCTCATACATCGGTTGCTCTTCAATCTGACCAGGAGAGATGGGAAATGTGAGACTAACCCTCTCTGGAAAGCGTGTCCCCAAGCCTCCTGACAAGGGGTCACTATCGGGACAGAGCTGTGGGGGTGGCTGCTCCAAAACCTTTGGCAGATGGTGTGCAGGTTTAGTGGCCCTCATGGGAGCAGCCACGGGAAGGGAAAGTGGTTTAATTCATGCCATGCCATCGCATGGGGATGGCATCGCCTGGCAGCCGCAGAAAATGCTCCTCGTCAAGGGGCACCACTTAATTCTGCTCTTTATTTGATGGGAGACTTCCCAAGGTGTCACAGCCAGCTTCCCCCATTTTGAAGAACGCACTTGTCAGAACTGGGCAGATTATCTCCCAAAACAGCTTTGCCCCAGGTGTTTGGGGAGACACAAGACCAACCATTTTCAGAGGGAGCTGGAAGCAGCTCCTCTGCGGAGTGCTGGCAGCTGCAGCCGAGGTGAGCAGAGCGGCTGTTTCTGATGCTAAAAAAAGACAACGAAAACAATACATTCAGGCCTGTGGGTGTGCGGGGCTGGTCTCCCCAGCGGGGCACGGGCAAGTCTGCTCACTTAGAGCTTTGGCTCATGGCAGTGTGTGCATACATGGGCTGGCGTGGGGACACCTTCTGGGATGGATCACAGTAGAAACAGCATCTGCATGAAACCCTTCAAAACATTTTTTTTTTTTTTTTTTTACTAAACCACTTAGGCCAAAGGTTAAATGCTGGCTGCTCTGTTTTAATAACCCATTTATGGCTCAAGGCGAGACAGACGCTTTATCCAGGATGGGATAAGCCCTCCCAGCTGGAGAGGCACATGGAGGGCATCGTGTCACAGGAGGGTGAAGGATGAGCCCTCCGGGTTGGAGCTGTGGATGCAGAGCAGGGATTTCGGGCCACCAAGATGAAGCTGAGAGGAGTGTGCTCAGTCCCAGCTATAGTCCGGGTGGGGAGGGAGCCTGGTGTGGGGACCACAGCTGGGATGCATGTGACAATGACATGGGTGGCAGAAGGCATCAGAAGGGACACAGCCAAGGCTGTGCACCTCAGCAGGGGGAATGTTTTGGGCATTTCTCCACTCTTTGGCCCCTGTCCTAGCCAAAGCCATGGGTGGGATGCAGGCAGTTCCCCTGGCACCAATGGGCAGAGGGGATACTGTGGCCGAGGGGTCCATCCCCAGCCTGTGCTGAGCTCCTTGGCCCCAGGACTCTGCTCCCTCTGGAACCTGCCAGAGGGAACTGGCCTGGTGGGATGAGCGATGCTTGGTGCCAGTTGTGAGACATCCCCGCTTGTCCTCTCACCTCGCGTGAGTCCACGGCAGCATACATGATGTCCATCCAGCCTTTGAAGGTTGCCTGCGGGGACAGCGGAGAAGAACAGATTCACTGGGAAGTATCTGGGGCTAGAGAGGGAGGGGAGACCCATGGGTGCATCTTTGGGGTTTAGTTTGGGGGTTTAGTTCTGAGCACGCCTGTTCAGCCCGGAGTTGCAGCTTGTCCATGGAAATGGCAGAAAGGACCATGAGTTGAATCCACAAGAAAAATGCCCTGATAGGGAGATTTGCATGTGCACGCATATGCACACACAAGCTCCGTTCTGTGGCTGAGATTACCAGGGACTTCCCAAAACACCACTGCAAACCAGGCTGGGAAAAGAAGCAAGGGGCTCTTTTCCCCCCAAAACAAAATGTATTTCCCCAGTGGCAGATCTGTGCCGGGGCTGGCTGCCTCCCTCCCACCCCCAACCTGTGCCACCTCTGGAGCCCTGACTTCTGTATCGCTGCCTCTGCTATCTGCTGGATCCCAGTCCTGGTGGCGTTGTGGGGTAAACTGCATCTTTTACAAACTTTTACTGCTGATTTGTTAAACAAAAAGTCTGAACATCTTGTTTCCTGAATGTGATGGAGCAACAAATCTGAAGAGGAAGCTGAATTTAAAGCTGGTTAATCAGTTTGGGTTATGCTCTGATTGTGCACCACCAGTTCCCCTGGATCTGAAGAGAGTAACCTCAGCCCACCCAATAACAGAACCCACACCTATATTTTTATTAAAATTGTGGTAAGTAGTTCCCCTTCTGCTTGCCTGGCTCAGCTGCAGTGGGTTCAGTGGAAGCACGTCTGCCCTCGCCCACTGCCCTGAAGCGGACACATACACTCTTTTTCCAGTCATCATCTTTCCCATGCAAAACTCTTGCAGCCTATGACTACAGCAGGCTGAACTTCTCAAATGGGTTGGGGGAGAGGAGAGGTCTCCCCTCCTCGCTTCTGCATCCTGTGCTCTGCAAAGGACTTCTCACAGCTCCAGGCTCAGTGCTACCTACACTCTTCTGCAGTGGTTTCCTGGTGACACTTACTTTCTCCTTCCATCTTCTACCCTGTCTTTTTCCTCCTTGGCTCTGCAGTTGTTTTTTTTTTTGTGTTAAATACCAGTTTTGGAGGTAAGAAGAAACTAAGAGGCCCTGTCTGGTCATTGGGGCAGCGTCTTGCTTCAACCCTATTGCTAATCATGTTGCTCTGCTACAGTGATGCACATCTTGGAGGGGTGGCAGCTGCTTTCATTACGTACCACCTGCAGCAAAGAGAGGTATCCCAAGCCCACGTTGTCGAAGTTGACCTTGACGTTGACCCATCTGACCTCGTTGGTGTGGAGGAGAGCCATGCAGTCGCTCCTATTGTTCACCACACTGATGTCAAAGATCTCCCCTGAGGTGGTGTTGATGCATCGATAGTACTTCCCTGCAAAGAGGTTCACCCCCATAATGCTGAATATCAGCCAGAAGATGAGGCAGACCAGCAGGACGTTCATGATGGAAGGGATGGCGCCCAGCAAGGCATTCACCACCACCTGCAAGGGGAGAAAAGACATTGGAGGACCTTGCTAGGGAACTGGGCTAGCAATGATGTGGACCTTCATGTCCCTGTCCCAGCCTTAGCCTCCCCAGAGGCATCAAGTGGGTTCAAACTGGACCAAAGGTACCTTAACATCGACCCCAGTGACCTGGATGCCCCTGAAAACCAACTGGGATAGGTCCCTGATGTGGGTGACTGCTGAACTGTGCCTGTTGTGTGTCCGTATCAGAGCCAGCAGCTCACGTAGGAGGCACCTACCCTCATGCCTTCAAATCTGGACAGGGCACGCAGTGGTCTCAGAGCCCTCAGTGTCCGCAGGGACTTGATGGCTCCTAGCTCAGAGTATCCCAGCCAGTTTGCTGTCAGGCTGATGATGGAAACCTGTAAGGAGCAGCCCAAAGGATTAGCAGCATCTCATGGAAACAAAACTGAACCATGTTCCTACAGCTCCTGCCCTTCCCTCTCTCCCCAGCTCTCCCTCAGGCTGGTGGTCATCATCTTGTCTTGGAACGCAGGGACTGGCATCGAGTACTTGCGTCCCTGGTGACCAGCCAGCTGGATGTCCTCGCCTCTTGAGTGTGAGGGTGGAGGTGACAAGGGGTGGAGAAATTCTGCACAGGAGGAATGGCCTGCTCTGTCACAGAGTGTTTGGGATACCCTATGTCCCTTCACATCTCTACTGGGGTCTCCTAGAAGAACATGGGCTTGTTCTTGTTTGGGTGTAAACCAGAAAGGGTTTGAAAGGGGTAACCAGAGGAAGAAGTGGCCCTTCCTGTGGGGGGGCTTTATTCTGAGCAATGGTCTAAGCCCTTGTTCCACAGCCACCCCACTGTCCTTTGAAATACAACTTGTTACAATCCCCTGATGCTCCAAAATCCCTTGGCTTACTATGGCTCTAGAGGTGCTCATCAGACAACACTTACATCAACAATGAGGAAATCCAGCCAGCACCATGCGTTGGTGAAGTATACCTTGAAGCCATAGGCCACCCACTTGAGCAACATCTCAATGACGAAGATGTAGGAGAAGACCTTGTCAGCGTACTCCAGGATGGTGCGTATCACCTTTCGTTGTTCAATGTAGATGTCCTCAAAAGCCTGGAAGAGACGTGGAGCTGCATGATAATCATTCTTCCATTAGTCCTGCTGTGCAGCTCAGTGCATCCATGCCTGCATTGTCCCTGACCTCCTAGGGCTTGGGGCAGCTTGAGAAGTTGAGAACCTATCTACAGGTGACATTTACTGATGCACCTGGTCAACGTGGGGTCTAACTTTTGTTTGCTAGTTCTTGTTGACTATGTAGAGCAGTATTTGTCCTGAAGAAAAGCTTCACTGAAGCAAATGTCCATCTGCATCAAATTCCCACCAGTCCGAGCCCAAGTCAAAAGCCAGGACACCAACCTGCACCTTTGGATGCTTTTGTAGTCTTGAAATCTTAGGAGTTTGAATTACTGCGGTGTCCATGTGGCACATAAAACATTGCAATCGGAGGTATGGGCATGTAGGCCAGGTTTTGCACAGCTGGCTTAGCACAGCTTTCGATTCCAGCACTAGCTACAACCTTGGACATCCCCAAACTGAACTTCAGAGCATGATGCAGACATGTTATAAAGTACATCTGAAACCCAGTTCAGTCCCTCTGTTCTCTTTCCCTCTCTCTTTACCTCCAAATTTGCAGAGAAGTTCGTCTCCCCATTAGCTCTGTGTATTTACAGGTGCAGATGAGTTATATCCAGCCTGAATACTCGGAGAGGATCAACAGGCTGACGCACAGTTTTTTAACAAGGTTGATTTAAATGGACACCCAGGTTCTGGGAGGGCGCAGCAGTCAGCAGCTGGAAGTGCTGAACAGCAAAATAATAACCATGAATTATTCGTAAAGCACCTCCTGACAGCCAGTGAAATGAGGAACCATCCACATAAAGCTAAATAGATGATGCAAATAGTTCATGGTTGACATTAAGAGCAGGAAGAGAGGCTGTAGGCGGTTGCATCCCCTTGAGCCCATGGACCACAGCCCCTGAGGATGCTGGGGAGGGTTGTACCAGGGTGACTGTACCAATACAGGGCTCTTGGAAGGCAAGGGAAGGATGCTTTGATACCCTTGCAAGGCTCTACATTGGGCAGACCTGAGCCAAATGGGGTTTTAAATCAAACATCTGCCCACAGCTGTTTTATTTTGCACAGGAGACAACCAGGCAGTGCCCAGAGCCTATGGTGCTGCTGTCTGGGCCCTGCCCACGTTCCTGGGCTCACACCAATCTGGGGAGCTGCTGCAGAGCAAATGGGACAGGGTGAAAGATGGGACCTACCAGCGCCCCACTGCTGAGGAGGATCATGAAGACGATGAAGGTCTCGAACCAGTCGTGTTCCACGATGCGGAAGCAGGTTTTCCGGATGTTCCACCAGACCTTCCCTCTGTCGCTGGTGATGTCCACGTAGAGGCAGGGAAACCTCTTCACACAGGCTGGTGATGGGACAGAGACCTGTGGGTTACCTCCTGGCCAGGGTGTTTTCACCAACATGACACTATTTGTGCTTTTACTGTCTTTTCAAACCCTCCTAGGTGGAGGCTGGAGCAGGATCCTGCTGGGTTTGAGGGTGGGCACACAAGAGGGGAGCAGCAGGGGGACCATCTCCCTGGTAGTACAGGAGGATTTGGAGTCTGGGCTGAGCCAAGTGAGCCTGGGGGTCGTTATGCTGCAAGAACTGGTTGGCAATGGCCCTTCCACACCCACGTCTCCCTCTCCATGGGGTTCCCTGCCCTACTCAGTCCCTCACCTTCGGTGAAGCAATCCTCAGGCTCGTTGCTGGCCTCAGCCTCTTCTGCCACTTCCTCCTCCTCCGGTGGCGGGGGCTTGTAATCCACGGTGCTGCACAGGGACGACGCGTTGTCACTGGAGAGGGGATTCTGCAAAGGGAGAGGAGGATTCAGGCTGAGCTGCCCTGCAGAAGGGATGCTCCTGGCCTGTGGCTGCCTCTGGTGATCTTCCAGCTCCTCCTGCCCCCACAGGGACCAGGAAGAACTGGGGGAGAAGGCTGGTGGGACTCCCCTGCTTGGAGGCTGCTCTGAGTCCCTTTCCTATGAAAGCCCAGAGTGAAGCTGTTGAATTGTCTAGAGCCACAAACCTTGGAGGGTCGTTCATACCTGAGCTTGCACAAGCTTTGTTTTTCATCCAGGTTCAGAGGAGCAAAAGGTCCCCTGACTCCAGCCTTCCTCCCTGCACAGCAAGACCATCTCCCATCCACTTGTACCATCATCTCAGGCTGATTTTCTTACCTCCTCCTCCTCCTCCTTTGCATGTCCCCATCTAAGATATGTTCTGCCAAACATCTTTTGGTACAATGAGACCTGCAGAAAGCTGGGCAGCCACCACAGCACTTCTCTCAAATTCTGTTGGCTTGGATCGTGCCAAAGGGCTTTTAGGCTGAGGTTCACCCAAGTTCAAAACCTGCATCCCAGTTATTTCTTGCCAGCTCCATCCCACTCCACAGGTCAGCTTGGCTGGCTTCCCAGACACCACTCAGCAAGGTCCAGAGGGGCTGATAACAAGAGAAAACCTTGGCAAGCCCCTGGGATTTTTTCCTCTTTTTTTTTTTTTTTTTTTTTTTTTTTTTTTTTCTTTCTGAGAAAACCTTCTGCAACACTTGAGGAAACAGGTCCCCAGACCTGCCTGTCCTACCTGGGCGCAGCTGGGAACCAGAAAATCTTGGATGAGCATCTCCAATGCAGGGTGGCATTGGCTTGCATGAGAAGGAGATAATCCTCCTCCAGAATTGATAGTGCATTCAGTAGTGAATTAAGTAGCCTCTCCATCCTCCAACAAGCCAAGGAAGACTCTCTGGGGTAATTTGAGGCACTGACGTTGCCCACAGCCTCAGAGTCCCCAGCCACATCTCTAGGAGAAGCCATTGCTCTGGGGGCCCCTTGCAGCCGGTTACTGCATGCTGGGGACATGCGGGGCACTGTCTTGGGGAGGAGGACGCAGCAGTAGCAGTGACACAGGCTGGTGGCTCTGCAGGAGCAGTGGGGCCACCTTCTGCCAGGGCTGTGGGGGCACAGGAGGGACAGGGGGATTAGGAGGCCTCAGTATGAAGCCAGTGAAGCTGTGACCCTGAGGAAGGACACATGGAAACCATCTGCCTTCAAGACAAGTCCCCATGAGGTGGGGACAAACCAGCCCAGTGGTGCTGGAGATCAGGGGAAAGGTGCTCAGGGCAGGTCTTCTTGAGGTGGGGACAGGGATAATAGTTCTGGTCCCACTGCATGGTCCCCCAAACTCCAGCCCTGGGGGCTCCTGAGCCCCCACATGCCATGACCAGCAGGTCTGCAGGACAATTTCCAGCACACACCCAGCCTGGCTGGGTGTTTCTACCCAAATCCAGGGTTTTCCTCATCCTTGCCAGCACGGAGCACTGGCATCCAGGTACTGTGCACCCAGACTCGTGCTGTGACCCCCATAATTCACACACTTGACAATATTCCTGTGATGTACATCGCCCTGCACATCTCAGGAGACATCACCTTGCCTGGCAGCATGGGGGACTGTGGCAAAAAACCCACAGGAGCCCGCAAGAGCCACAGCACTAACTTTGCACAGCCACAGCACCCCAACGCTGCTGTTCCTGTCATCTCGCTGCTTTGTGGCGCAAAAGATAAATCAATGATAAGATGCAAAAGTGCTCGCAGAGAGCAACTGCGCTGCTGTCATCACCCTGCCACTATCATTTCACCCTGAAAAACATCTTTGCCTCAGAAAGAAGCTGTGCTGGAAGGGGGAGAGCATTTATCAGCATTTTCTGAGCAGCTCATCCAGAGAAAACCCCCCTTTTGCAATTGTCACGGGTGGCCCGTGTCCCCTGCGCGAGGCGGTGTGCCGGGCTTTGGCTCCATCTGGAGCTAATCAAGGGCATGTGAACACACTGAGCTCGCAGCAATATTTCCCGAGGACCAGCTCAGGGCTCCCACCAATTAGCACCCGATTTCTAATTAGTAGGCAGTCAATTCATATGATGCCTGCCAGCCTGCTGCCCACTCTGCCTGTTCAGGCAGGGGCCGGGTTGTTAACGCAACCCCCTGGCTTGCACCTTGATCAACGCTTGACTGAATTTAGCCACCAAAACTAGCAGCAGTGATGGGGTGAACAGATATTCAGTGGTTGAGAAATGTGGTTTGCCCCCTGCACACGCTGAGCAGCCAGGGATGGCTCTTAAAATACAAGCTCTGTGCAGGGCGTTGGAGCAGGTGCCTCTAGATGTCAGCTGAGCACAGCTCCAAAACGCCGGAGCCGTGCCGGGACATGTCTGATAGCTGCACACGGAGGTTTTCCCCCAGGCACTGGGAAGCACATCGTGGTGGTGGGGAACTGAGGTCTGTGGGGACCCCACAGGCCAGGCTGGATGTGTCCCCCCACTGCGGGGAGGGTTGGCATTAGCATCCCCTCTGGGCAGTGTGACTCTATGCCCTGTGTGCATGTCCTGGATGTGCTGGGGAATAGTGCTACTGGACTGGACCTGTAGCAGGAGAAATTTGGGAAAAAAATGCCAACTCTCAGTCCTCCAGCTGGCAACACTAAGGGGAACAACAACAGCAACTCTCCTTGCCCCTTCCCTTGACCAAGGTGCTCCAGGCAAGTTTATCCCTTCTGAGCACAGCAAGGAGCATGACTGCAGCGGGTCACAACCAGCCACCACCTTTCCTGCCATCTTCCTCCTGCAGCCCCAACTGCTGAAAATACACTGTTTTCCCAGCTAAAAAAAAACCCCAAAACCACCCCCCCCCC